CCCTCATCCTTCTCACCATTTGAAAGGTAGGAAGCTGGATGCAGTTAAGGAGCAAAAGGGAGGGAGGCGGGAGCTGAGGATGAACACAGTGTAAGAGTTTGACTCCTTAACTGGGTTAATTTGTCTCCTGGCAGGCACGTAGAAAGCTTAAGAGAAAGCTACAGGAAAAAAAGTAATTGCAAGACATGCGCTACTCATGTAATTGCTGACATGTCTAATGCTGTTATTCAGGGAAGCTTTGAAATACTAGACTTCTTATTGAGGGATGGAGGGATTACATTTCCACTGGGTGCAATTAGAAGAGATGCATAAAAGAAGGAAATGTAAGTTGTTATGAAGAAGCCTAGTCTTGACTTGAATTAGTTTAAATGCAACTTGTTCAGAACAATTGATTTTTTATGATAAATAAATGGATTTGTATGCCCAACCAAGTTTTATTTGGCAAGCCAGTTTCCACCAAGCAATTGCTAAACTGTTGAATTTATTGTGCAGCATCTGCTCTTTAGAAATATGGAAAACCTTAAAAAATATATAGTATGCACATATAAACATATGTCAATTTTAAACCATGAGCATATTCTTTATATCCTTCACAAACCTGTAAACACCCAGTATTAATTTGGATATTGCTTTAAATTTTGGAAATGTTTTTGTTTGTCTGTTAGTGGCTTTTGTTTGCTTGTTTTAACTAAATAGAATAATTGATGCTTAGCAGAAGATTGAAGTTGGTTTAGATTTGGGACTATCTACATCTATTAACTGAAACAGAGCCAGTACCACTTTTCAAGTGTTCTCTTTTTCAAAGCAGAACTACAGAGGAAAGTCAGACTATCTAGGACAAAACTACCCAAATGCTGAGGGAAATCTGTATCAGACTCAGTCCTGCAGTGAAAGCCCTGTGTTAAGGTGATGCAAGCAGCTGGACAGAAAGCCTGGGGAAGCCAAATCTTTTGGTAGTCATCTCATGGAGGCTTTGGTCCCAATGACCTTACTTTCCGTAAGGCACCAAGGCAAGTTCTGCCCCTGAAAAGAAGCATCAAGAAAGCAAACGTTCTGCCCAAGCACTCAGCCTTGCAGCCTGCTCCCCAGGCCCTGCTAGGTGATGGGCGCTGGCTCTTGCCACCATTGCCAGTCCTGGACCTGTTCCCCATGCCACAACAACCTTTTTTTTTGCACAGTTCACCTGAACAGGGGCCTTTCAAACTCTGGACATGAGGAACTTATTTCTCCCGTGGGCCTGTGGCTGCTATATCTGGATGAGAGATGTGCTTGACCTCCTCTGAAGGGAAAAGGCAACAAACACCCTCTCAGGATGGCCCCAAGGGAATTTCTCAATTCTCAATTTCTCAATGGGTGTATAAAGTTCTCCAGCAGAACTTGACTGTTTTGAACTACATCATCAGGGAACATTTTCAATAATGAAGTCTCTCTTTCACAACACCATGGGATTTCCATACTCCAGCCAAATGCATTTTCTTTGAGTAAGTGACATTCCGATGTGTTCTGGGACAACTCCATGGGCACTTGCCAAGACACATGCTGGCTTCTTCAGACAGAGACACACAGCAGTTTAAACTTGGTTTAGCTCACGAGTCTCTAGTAGCGACAGGCCATCTGGCACATTTCAGTGAAACTGGCGCTTTCTGCTGGGAGAGGTCCAGGGCTTATGTAAGACAGATATGGCAGGACAGGAGTGAAATGCCCTGTCAGGGCTGTGTGCACTAAGCTTGCATGGCAGCACTCAATCCAAGCCAGCAAAGCCAGGATGTAACTCATCAATCCACCCGCAGCGACAGAGGCAGCGCTGGGAGCAGAGCAGGAAGACAAGGAATGCTGGGGTGAGGCTCAGGAGCAGTGCAGGAGCAAGGGACTGGCCATGGGACTGCTGCTGGGAGGAGGTATCGTTCCAAATGGAGCTGTGGGGAAAGCCATGCTTGAAGTCAGGGGGTATGGATCAGAATGAAGGTGTATCGAAACCTCTTGGGAGGTGGGCAGACTAGTGCAAAGATTTTAGACTGCATGTCTCCTTTGGATTATGGTAGCAAAGATGCTGATACACAGGATCAGACAGTTCACAAAACAGGAGAATCTGCAATGAGGTTGGGAATGTGTGGCAAGCTGGGAAGCGTGAAGGAGGCTTTTTGTACTGAAAAGCTCTGCTGTTGCAGCATTGACTTCCTTCTGACTTGTTTTGGCAATGTTGTATACGACCAAGTCTGAACCAGTGGGAGAAAAAAGTATTTTGTGTTTGGTCATCCTGCCAAGAATGAGGTTACTTTTAAGATGCAATTATATGAAAATCAAAAAGAAGATAAGAAAGCCAGGTTTGTTTCTGGTTAGTATAATGAGATGTTCCTACAACAGTCTGATAACTGCAAAAACAGAATTAACAATTCATCTACAGAAACTAAAGATTTACTGAGAAAATTTTTCCTCACTAGATGAGAAATGTGCAACTCCATTTATTGCAGCAGCTGCCATTATGTGCATTGGCTGACAACACATTCTGGGCATGCATCACAGCACTACTCAAAATCTGCCCTCAGGCATTCTTCTCTATTCCATACTCTAAACTGAACATTGGACAATGTCTGACACATGCACACAGGTGCCACACAGACTGGTCCCATCCTACTTTCTTTCTCTGTGGCTTGCCCATAAAAGTGCAAATGTAACCAAGAAGATAATGGTGTGATGTGTTCTCCTTTGACTGACCTACTGAGAGCCAAAAGACTGGGAAGGGGATAGGAAAATCTACTTCCAGAGCAGATTGAAATGTGTCTTTGGCACAGCATACCTGCACAAATTCATCATACATTCAAAAAAAGTTGTTTAATCCTTTTCCCCAGATTTCTGTTGCCAAGAGAGGACCATTATTGATAACTCCCTGAGGCTTCTTCTCCTTGTGTTACCCAATACCTCATTCACACCTCAGGCATCAGGACAGATGAAAGGAAAACAGAGATGAGCAGTTCTCTCCCTGGTATTCAAACTTTAAATCAAACACCCACTTTGCTGTACTATAAACAGAGCTGCCTGTTAGGTGCACCAAGGCACTCCTGTAATATTTCTTTTCCTTTAAGATTTTATATTTCTCCTGTGAGAAGCAATTACAATAGAAGTGTCAAGCAAAAATAAATCCCTGTTAATCACAGTCACTGTGAGCCTGCCAAGTAAATCACATCTCAGCGTTGCTGTTCCATTTCTCAGGTAGAAATAAAAAGTGTGTGAGAATCCCATGGTCTAGAATTGAGCTCTTCCCAAGAGGAAGTACAAAGTTTTTGGAAATACAAGTTCTTCTCCTGTGTTCATTACATTGTGTAGACATTAGACAAGCAATAAAACTGAGTATCCACTGACCATAAGAGTAATTCAGGTTGGAAGGATTCTCTGAAAGTTGTCTAGTCCAACCCTCACACAAAGCCAGGCCAAATGAACAGTTAGGTCAGACTGCTCAGTTCATCTGGGCCCAGAGGTTTCTGAACAGCTGCAAACCACTGGTTCCACAGCTCCTCCGGGACACTGGGCCCATGCTCACCTGCTCTGAACATAAACAACTTTCTTCCTATATGTAAATCTAGTTGGGATTTCTTTTCCTGCAACTTACGTAGATTGTCTTTGGTACTTTCAACATGCACTTCTGAGAAAGGATCTGAACCTGTCTTTGCAGCCTCTCATTCCCTTCAGCTTTTTCTTCCCCAGACTGAACAAACCCAGTGCCCTCAGATTCCATTCAAATGCAGGTGCTCCTGCCTCTTCACCTGTCTATTACAGTCAATCACTAATAGCATACATACTTTGATTTGGTTTTGGTCTAAAAATAGGCAGGTCTATGCATCTGAAAGGAAAAATAACAAATGGAGAAAACTTTGGGCTGTCCACTGGACTGTTATTTTCCCATACTTTTCAAATTCAGAGGCTTCATGAACTGTCCATGGGAGCTGCCTTCAAATCACCTGAAGAGAATGGTACTGAGCTTGCTCCCCTCAAAATATAAGATTGAGAGAGGTTTTGTTCTTATTTTATCTTTATCTTTTCACAGTTCTCTGTGTTGTGAAAACCAGCTATTTCAAGATGATGCAATTGCAGCTGATGTTCCAGAACTGGAAGCAGTTTCCATCATGCCAGAGAACTGCTAACCATGGTTTAAAAATCCTGTGAGGTCTCCTATTTCCTTTTGAGTAACACGCAGTGGCTTGGTGACTAGATGGATTACCTTTTTAATGCTAAGAATTTTAACCAGAATTTCAGAAACCTCTTTTAGCCGAGTCAATCTTAAGACATCCAGACTATGTAGTGCAGACTTGAGCTTATGGGAATGAGTTTTCAAATCAGATAAATGGTCATTTTCCCCAGGAACCTTCAGGAACACTACTACTGAGTCAGTGAAAACAGGTACCAGAAACCCAAGTACAAATCCTCCATACAATTTACATCACCCAGAATAAACTCATCATCTATCAATGGCAGAGGGTCTTTGTTGCACTGGAACAGAACTCTGCCTGGAAATACGTGGAGGAATGGTCTTGTACTCTGACTCCCCGTTTCTGCACCATCCACACTTTTGTACACAGAACTTTAACAAAGCAGTACACATGCATAAAAAGTATTTCACATTCCTCTACCTGTGATCACAGTCCAGTAAGAGTGCTGGGGTACGCGCAAGGAAACAATTTCAATTTTTTTTCCAGACCTCTTACCTAAGATTGTCCTACTCCTGTCATAGGGAATGACTCTGACTGGTGATACTTTGATACGGAACATTTTTTAATAACTCACCCCAAGGAAATATAAATGCTTGTTTACTAAAACAGAACAAAGGGATCTTTGTTCAGGTGTAAGGAATCTTACTTCAGCATGTAACAGAACAACATATAGAAAAATTAAGCAGAGGAGATTATTTTTTCCTCACATGCCTTCTTTTTTGTGGCTTTAGTATGTTTGTTTAGAGCCAGCAAGTACCAGCTCACATTCTCTTCTCTGCCATTTGCAGTTCTTACCAGTGACCACGCTGGGGATTTTGGACAGAAAGCTCTTGACAGTGCGGATGGGAACTCCACCTGTTTTGTCATCTTGCATTCTTGTAACGATGTCTTCAATCTGTCAAAAGAAAGGAAAAACACTGTGATTTATGCAAAATGGTGACTTTAACACTTATATACCATGAGTCCTTTGGCACCCTGCAGGCAGAATGGGTTTCAAATATACCATGTGTATAATTGCACAAAAACAGAGACGCTGCTACCCGCCCATTAGATTTGCTTTGAAGACAATGGTTGGATACTGACAATCCAGCTGAAACTGTGCTTTTTCTGCTGGCCAGGGGTGATAGAAAGGTGGTGTTTGCTCCACAGATGAACTGGACTGCACTTCAACCAGTTTAAGGAGGTTCACATCCAGTCCACTTTCCCCTATGCCCCCTCATTAATTTGAATCCTCAGTACTGTTACCTTGGGAGAGCTTTCATTTTCCCAAGGATCCCAGACAGTCACCAACTTTCTATGGCTTGAGAAGAGTCTAAGGTAGAACAGCTTCAGGACTTCCCCTGCCTCTTTTTTTTTGCTAGAATGCTACATATCCCACGGTCAGCACACAAAGTAAATAACCAAAAGTAAAACAATTATAGGGGAAAACTCATTGGATTTTCAAAGCCAAGCTACCTTTTAGTTCACAGGCACGCACATAATCTATCACACACAGAAAGATACACTATCATCTTCAAAAGCCATGGCAATCAGAGGATCCAATTACTGGGGGAAGGAGCTTAATCCTCCTCCTGCTTACTCTGAAATGGGAAGGGATTTTTGTTCCTTGTAAGGCTACTTTCCATACATTTACTCGAAGGCAGAGCCAGGGAGAACAAAAAGTATAAGCACAATACAGAAATTCAGTATCTCCAAAAACTCCTTTCAAGTTAATAAGGTCTCAGAAGCCCAACAAAAATAACCCCAAAGCTGTTGTCTCTGTTAGCTCAAGCAGTCAACAGTACAGCCCCACTTGCTGTTGTTGACGGGTGGCTCAGGGCAGCCAGACAGGGAGCACAGCCCTGATTTTACCTAACGATTGCCTCCTCACAGATGCTACAAAACAGAACCACAGCAGAGAGGTTACAGGATGAGAGCACAGCCTCTCTGTCTCCTAAAGGCAGCCTAGAGCTCAACATGCTCTCTTCATCTCTGGGAAGCCACTTCATTTGCATACGCAAGTGAGGTTTTTTTCCACAGATTTAACACCTACATTTAAAAACAAGTTTAATTTCAAGCCTTCCCGAGGTGGTAAGACAATCTCCCTGCCAACTTCAGGCACTGAATTTGATCGCTGTGTTTTTAACCTCAGGTTACCACTTAACTGAACTGTTCGCACCTTGTTTATATATTGCTTTTAATTTAACACTTCCTGAACAAATTCTCAGTAGGAATGAAATCACAAAGATGAAAATATCCTGACATTTTCCATATATTACATGAGCTTTGGGTACTTAGACAGTTAATTTGTGATAGAATAACAATACTTTCTCCACAAACGAATCACTATGAAAATTAATACCACTTTTCCATTTTGCCTTATGCAAAGTTGTTTGCTGATCAGTGCACTCGGCTTTTTTCCAGTCTGAGGATATCTGGAGAAGTAACTGCTAATCTCTGATACCTGGAGAGGTAATTTCTCTCCTAAAGAGTGGAAAAAAGCATTTCATTTTGTGGAGAGGAGCCTGACAGCATCCCGTGTTATCAACCCAGACCTGCAAGGCTGCAGCACTCCAGCATCAGACCTATGGGGTGACAGGGCAGCTCAGTCACCTGTGAAGCGTGGACACAAAATTTCAGGATGGGTCAGGCCAAAAGAGACCACAGTGGCTCATCTGGTGCAACCTCCCTGCTCAAGCAGGGTCATCCTAGAGCACATGGCACAGGACTGTGTCCAGGTTCTTGAATATCTCCAGTGAGGGAGACTCCACAACCTCTCTGGACAACCTGTTCCAGTACTCAGTCACCCACACACTAAAAACACTTTTCCTCATGTTCAGGTGGAACTTCCTGTGCATCAATTTCTGCCCTTTGCCTCTTGTCCTGTTGCTTGGCACCACTGAAAAGAACCTGACTCCATTCTGAGTCTTAGACTTCTTCCAGGAAGGGCAGCAAGACTATGAACTGTTTCTGCAAGACAATGAAAATCCCTCTGTGTTACCAACTACTTATGTGTCTTCATCTGTATGTACTTGTAGCTGACATTTTCCATGCATATTAGGAGGAAACTGCTCTGAAATGTGCCAGGAGTACACCATGTCTTCAGGAACACTTCAGGGCTTCAAGAATCACAAGAATAACATTCAGTAAAATAGTTGTTTTCTCTTTTTCTATTTGAACAAAAAGTTCCAAATTAAAATGAGCAAGAATAATTACTTCAATGTGGGAAAAACTTTTTGCTCTTTTGCTTGCTGTAAGCTAAAGGAATCCCAACATGATTTTTGTCATTAACACTACAAGAAAAGTTTAATTTCAAGCAAAATAAAACTTTAATTAACTTTAAAAAAAGATACATTGTTTTTACCTAAACTATTCCCCATTTCAATCAATCAAGCAGGCACTAGTGTCTCAAATGGGGCCATTAATTTCAGTTACAATTACAAATACCTACTGCATTTTTCCCAAAAGGCTCCTTCTTACTGTTGTCTTCTAGCCTGACTACACTAGTGGCACTTACTGCTCTCCTTATTTCAAATTGTTGGATGTTTCTCTTCTCCTTCCCTTTCTACTCAAATGCCACACCTCCGTTCTCTTCTGTCCTCTCATCTGATCCCGACATGAATACATGGCATCCTCCTACAGGCTGCCCAGAATTTTCACTCTGCTACCCAGAACCCACAGGATTACAACCCCCTGGTTGTACATAATCTTTCTATTCCCAACAAGCTTTTCTTGTGCTCTCCAGCAAATTTCTGCCCTGCTCAAAGAAGACAGCATGGCATACTCACAGAAAAATGTGATGATAATTTTATCCTTTCTTAAAGTTATAATCAAGTATTAAAATATTAAAAACCTGTGTCTAGCAATGTTTCCAGGTTTTGTTCAGCTCTCTACAAATAGAAGATCTGACCCTTTACACCAGCCTTTGTTTTGCACCCACCCAATAACTGCAGATACAGTATCTGGAAGCCAGATCCACCCTGGATCCAAATTCCAGCTGAGCTATGGAAATACTTCACAAAATAAGTTCTGTAGGGACAAAGCAGGAAAAAAATTGTTCATTAGAGCTTCAAGCATGGAGGAAAACAAAGAGGGCAAATGAAGTGTGAAGGTCACTTTCATCAAAGCTTTTAATCTTAACTTTTAAGAGATTTACCTAGACACTCAAGTGCTAATGACTCTCTTTTCAGCTTCTGCATGTTATTAAATACCCCTTAGGCTTCCCTCGTTGAAGCCTGGGAATGAGAGTCCTTGGACAGCTCATTTCATTGGGCTAGGAGGCAGCAAAAAGTGCAACAAAGCATTCCTCATTTATCTCTCCTAAATGAGCAAGCTTCAGTGAACTAATTTCTGCCCAGTAAAAGTCATGGTAAGAATGAGCAATACTTTTTGGGTTTTTTCCTACGTTGGGGGTCACCACTATTTCAATCTATTCTCATTTTGCAAAGGGAATTGTTATTCTTCCATCCAAGTGGATTCCGGGTCAGTATCTCCACAGGAAAGGCAGAGAAATTAATGTATCTGCTGTCACTGTTAGCTATACACTGTAATGTATGCCTAACAAACTAGATCTGTTTTTCCTCCTGACTGGTTGCTGACAAGTCTGCTCCCTACATTTATCCAGAACGTTTTTATTTCTCATTATCCCACTCTCAATGCACTGAAAAGGGCCTCTGGCTGCAGGACCACATTAGTGGAGACATAAACTACTGCAGGTAGTTTATAAGAGGTTACCAGCATATTCTGTTACACACAATGTGATGGGAATTTAATGCATATATTACTAGTATTTATTAGACCTTCTTTTCCACCATCATTTTCTGCTGGCCTAAGGGGGCTGAAGGCACAAAGTAGAAGACCTTGAATTCCTGTCAGAGCGAAGATGTCTATCACTGGAAGATGAGAAGTCCTTTTTCTGAGGCAGGACAGAACACAAGATGGTATTTGTTGATGCATTAGAATAACTAAGTCATAATACAACAACAAATGTAACAACCACAGCCTGACAACTTCGGGTCAGTGTCACCCAACACCCCATTACCATTTAAGAGGGAAAACAACTCTCAACTTTGCAGTAGCTTTTCTTTCTCCCAGCACCAAGCCAAGCAGGCACCCCTCCTGCAGCAAGTTAGCACACACAGCCTTGCTGAGCCCTGGTCAAGGCTGGCCTTGAAGGTGACACACTGAGGGAAGGGCAAGTTACACACAGAGAAGAAAAGCCACCAGTTCCCATCTCCTGCAGCCCCACACCCAGACATCACCAGCAGCTAATGGAACTCCCCGGCTCAACTCACTCAGTTGTGGCTGAGTGACACATAATGAGGTCAGAGGCCCTCACGGTCCCATTTTTCCATTTTATTTTGTGAGTTAGTGAGGAAAACAGTGCCCTTTTCATATTCTAGCATTTGAGTTAGATGTACATATTCCCTTGGACCCAGGAAAGCTCCTGCAGTCTATTTCTGAATATTTCAGTATGTACCAGGTGCCTGTCTGATTACTCACAGCAGCTACCCTACCCCTGGGGCCTCCTGTCACCAGCTAACCTGTGGCTGGAGAGTCTCCAGGCATCACTCATCAGTGCCAGCATTAAATGTATACGGTTAGAGAGCACTGTGCAGTTGCAGAGATCCTCTCTGACCTGGCCAATGACAGCTCTCATGCGTATTGGGGGAGCTGGATGGTACACGGAGCAAAGGATCAGTCTGTTAGCAGCTAGCCTGATGGCAATGATTACAAGCACATTTGATCTTTTCACTGAAATACTAGTTTAAAAGAGCCTGTTTCTCACAGTGCCAGCTCTTACTCCCATAAGTGCCTCTGACACTACCAGTGTGCCTGTGCATTCTGCACCTGCTGACTCCTGCCACACAGCCCACACATGCACAGACAAGGAAAGTTAATTTGACAAGATGCCTG